GCAGCTCCAAGTTTGAATCTCGACGAATTGAGCACTGGACAGGTCCTTGGCGCCATCTTCGGTGTTGCCGGCGGTGTCGTATTGTTATATGGCATTTTCTTCCTGCCATTCCTTTACCGTAAGCTCGAACTTGAAGATTGGCAGTTGAGGACCTGGGAGGTTATCTACGGTCCTCTCCTTTGGAAGCGTGGGCCCGTCCCACCCCGTCCAGAGGGCACTGCCGTTGTCCAGGACTACTACAGAGGCCACAAGACAAAGGCTGATCTCACTACTACCCGTGGAGCTGCCGATGATATTGAACACGCTGCCGCTCCTCAGACCGACGCACAGAGCTCCGAGGATGGCATCAAGCGTGGCTCCAGCGAGGCCTCACCCGCCGAGAAGAATGGAGAACAGACCCTTGAGGCTCATGAGCAAGAGGCTCTGGGTCCATGGTATACCCCCCGCAACCTCTTCGTTAAGGCCAAATACTCCTTTTTCCGTGGTGTCGACCGGGACGCTGTTTCTGAGCAGAACGCCACTGACGCTACCAACTTCCTTGCCGGAGACCTGGACAAGATGCACGCTCAAGTCAAGCACTACGACAACAAAACTGAGCATCTCTACTCCTTCCTCCAGGTCCTGACCGCTGCCACTGCCTCGTTCGCCCATGGATCCAACGACGTCTCTAACGCCATTGGACCACTGACCACAATCTATCTTGTCTGGGATACTAACACCATCGCCAAAAAGGCCAGTGTGCCAATTTGGATTCTTGTTTTTGGCGGTGCTGCTATCAGTAAGTCCAGCTCACCTCAAAGCCGTCAAGTCAGCTTAATTAACCGCACATGTAACTAACAACGTCAACCAGGTATTGGTCTCTGGACTTACGGATATAACATGATGCGTCAGCTTGGTAACAGACTTACTCTGCACTCTCCTAGCCGTGGTTTCTCCATGGAACTTGGTGCAGCTATCACCGTCATTCTGGCCAGTCAACTCGGCCTTCCCATCTCAACTACACAGTGTATCACCGGCGCTACTGTTGGCGTTGGTTTCTGCTCCGGAACCTGGAAAGCCGTTAACTGGAGAATGATTGCCTGGATCTACCTTGGATGGTTCATTACCATGCCAGTCGCTGGTATCATCTCGGGTTGCCTTATGGGTATCATCATCAATGCCCCTAGATGGTCTGGTGTCGGTGCTTAGACTATTATCCTTCCACTTCCCCTCCCGGGCATGATATAGAGTGTTGATGATATATCTCTTTTGTGGTCCGGACTTATGTTTTTCTTAATTTTTGTATACTTCTGTCTTGCTCCTGATATACCAAATAGTTAATTTCCCACTCACTGATGCGAACAATGCACGCTATTCCACGCTCGCACTCCCCTTGCAAAGCACACAACTACAGGCTCGAATGTAAATCCAACACATCTTCTACCTACGTACATATACCAAGTCAAACCTCATCGAATCCATCTTTCATGAGAAGCCTAAGCTGTGCCAGCCCTTCTTCCAAAACTTTCGTCTCACACGCGTATCCAATCCTCACAAACCCCTTAAACTCCAGGCCAAAACAATGTCCTCCGGGAACAAACATGACCCCAACCCTATCAAACACCAACTTGCACAGCCTAACATCATCAACCGGCACCCCGTTTTTTGAGAACCTAACAAACGCCGTAGTGCCAGCAAGAGGTTTACACCAATCACATACGGACGAAAACTCCTCGACAAACGCGGTGAGAATGTTCAGATTGTGTCTTGCAATAGTGGTGTTTCGCGCAAGTAACTTGACACGCACTTCTTTCCAAGCGCAAAGGAAGCTACCCTGTCATCTAGCTGGCTGACGGATATAGTAGTGTAATCGCGGGCATGGAGGCATTGCTCGATTATATCCTTGCTGGCAATAATCCAGCCGACTCTGATGCCAGCGAGGGCATAAGCCTTGGACGCAGAGCCAGTAACTATCACCTTGTCGTAGCCCAGCGAGAATGCCGATGCAGGTTGCTGACTTGTCTCAAGGGAGTGGAAGAGAGGCCTGTACACTTCATCACAGAAGACGTAGATGTTTCGTTCTCTAACGATATTGATTATCTGCTGGAGATCTTTAGTTGGTATGGTTTTCCCTGTCGGGTTTTGAGGGTTACTAGTTACCACTGTCAGTTACGATAAAAGTAGATCAACGATCAAACGAGTAGTTAACATACTTGAGGATAATGAGCTTGGTGTTTTGTTTGATAAGGTCCTTCAGTTCGTCTACGTTCAGCTCCCAGTCTTTCTCTACCGAGGTCTTCCAGAGCGTTACTTCTGCACCCAGAGACTCTGGAACAGAGTAGAGCTGCTGGTACGTCGGGTAGTGACAGACAACATGGTCACCGGCATGCACCAAGGTGTAAAGCAGTAAGAAGTTGGCGCTGATAGCCCCCGGAGTGATCAGTACATTATCTGAAGTTGGTGCCACATCCCCACCCCCGCCATGCACCCGAGCGATGTTGGAGCGCAGCTCCTCGGATCCACGGATGACACCGTATCCCAGCTTCTGCGAGGCGTTGAACAAGTCTGCTGGCTTGGTGTCTCCTGCAAAGGCACAGAGGCCGTCGAGCGAGATAGGGGATGAGCATGTCTCTGCGATGTTGTACCTGGCCCGTGTCTCATACTCGTCCATCCACTGCACCGTAGATGATTATCAGCTAACTACTCCACAGCACGTTATAATTGTCGATTATCGAGTAAGTTCACCTGCTCCACAGCAAAGGGCTGGATCAACACCATATTCACGAGCTAACTCCGTACTTTAATAACTGTCAGGTCGTCACACAACCGGTTTCTTGAGCCACCGTTCCATGGACTTTCTGACAGAGGTTGACTCGCCAGTCGACTTGTCAACCTTATCCGTAGGTATGTCATTTCCAGCGTCCGCGGATTCTTGCATGAAAAAACCAACTAAGAGGAAGCTAAGAAGCGGGTGTTTCAGCGCCTCCCAGCTCTTCCCTGTCATTACAAAATCGATTCATATCCGACTGACATTTTGTCATTTTTCAAGAGCTCCCCTAGGGATCGGTAGGTCGACAGGCATTCACTAGCCATCTAACAGTTAAAACGCATCGACCTGGTAAAGCACAGTTAGCTATCGGCACATCCAACCGTACGTACCACCTTCCAGCTCACATCCATCCGTCCATCCTATCGCCAACCAACCAAGGAAATAAAAAGAAAAAGCAAAAATTTGCCTCTCCGACCCCTTTCCACGATTTCCAAGCCCTGCAGATCCACCGAAAAGAAAATCAGAAGATAAAAAAAAATCTCCTTCTCATTGGATCCAGCTGTCCCCGTTTTTTGAATTCTCTGATTGTTCAAGCTTGTGCTTTGTGGGACACCCAGGCAGCAGTCAAAGGGCAAAAAGTCGAGCCCCTGAGCCTGTTTCTCTCGATTTAATTGGCAGTTTTCAACCTGGTCGGAGGGGGGGAATAATGGGTTCAATTCAGGGAGAAGAAAGAATAATATTATAAGTTACTATGCTTCAATGAGAGCGCGGCGGGCCGAGGAAGCGTGGCTGATGGGCGCTATATAAGGTGGCTGCCGGCGCCTCTTGCTGGCGGATGGGTGTTTTGGAGATGCGGCTATCCATGTCCACCCGCAGAATTCGTGCATATAAAACAGGCCGTTAAGGGCGGCCGGGTTGCAGTCGTACATTTTTTGGCTTGTTTCTGTTCTTTGTCAGTAGAGAGTCAAGTCGAGCAGAGAAGAAGGAGAGGAAGAAGAGAAAATTCTTTATCGTGCATCAAGATGAATCTTCTCTTTATCACCACCAGAAGAATATTTTCCTTTGCCTGATAAAAACTACAGGTCAAGCAGCAGCTAAGAAGAGCTTGGTGAAATAGAGATAATAACATGACTATTTTCACTACAGGCTGGTTTAGCTGTGGCCGGCTCCAGCTGGTCCGGAGCAAGACGGTTCTCCTGCTCTGCTTCCTCTCCGGCATGGCCCTGGTCTATCTCTTCTACTTCTACGACAACTACACTCCTGTTCCACCGCCAGCACTTCAAGAAGCCGTCAGGATACCCCAGGCTGTGGTCCTCCCTAAGACAAAATGGGACAGGGTAGGCTGGGTGAAGCAGCTGGAGCCAGAGTAAGCACACTGTTGTTATACAAAAACAGTTGACGCGTCTGTATTACCAGCCATGCTAACATGATAGCCAGGTGGACTCCATTTATCTACTCTGTGGATGGTGATGAAAGATATACCCTCCGCACACCCAAGAACGTAGGCCGTGAAGCCATGGTGTACCTCTCCTTCATCATAGACTACTACCACTCCCTGCCAGAGGTGATGGCATTCGTCCACAGTGCCAACAAGCAATGGCACAATGACTTCAAGGGCCGTAAGACAGTCAAGATCCTCTCTGCCCTGCAGATCCAGGCAATCAAGCGGAGAGGATACGCCAACCTGCGCTGTCTCTGGGAACCGGGTTGTCCGACCTCGCTCAACCCGCTCAACCCGACTGAGACAGATATACGCGAGCAGAATGAACGAGCCCACCTGCCGGAAATATACATGAAGCTGTTCAACGTCAGCCGGAGCGAGGTGCCCGAGCATATTGGTGGAGTGTGCTGTGCTCAGTTTGCGGTGACGAGGGAGAGAGTGCAGAAGAGGCCCCGGGAGGATTATGTGAGGATGCGAGAGTGGGCTTTGGACGCCCGTTATACCAGTTTCGGAGTTGGATGGGTATTTGAGCAGATGTGGCATATCATCTTCATGGAGGAGGCCATCCAGTGAGTCTTGTCCTTTCTCCTTCGATGTCCTTCTAGTGGCTGAGCTAACAGTAGTTTTGTAGTTGTCCGTCTGAGGCACAGTGTCGGTGCGAGTTATACGGCGTATGCACGCTATAGCCAGGAAAAAAAGGCCACGAGAAGAGCATATTCAACCAGTGAATTCAATCAGATATCTGGCAGTCACAGCATAGTAGCAAGTCACCCAGGGGAAGACCATAGAAGGACCTAGGGAGGATCACAAGCTATCACGCAGGAGGACTCGAGAAGAGCTTGGAGTACGGGCGTTGCATGGCATTGCTGGTTCATTTGCATAGGGAGCAAGCATCAGGCATCTGGATAGACATCTCTTTATATTAATAAAACATCACAAACATCACCATCAACTACTGTCTGTCTCTTCACTGCCCTATCTTCATCATCATCACATTCTTCTTCTTCATCTTCAATCCCTCCTTCTTTCCCTCCGAGGCTATCTACCACGTGACCTTCAACCATGACTAATATCTGACTCAGCTTTGCACTGTTTGCCCGCACTAGTCCCGAAGCAGCCGCCCTCGCCCGCCCGCCATTTTTCCGCTTCGCAACAACAAAAAACTAAAAAAGCTCCCAAAACGTCAACGTCAACTTCGCCAGCCTCAGCTTTTTGTCTGCCCTTTTGACTCTCTCTGACCTGCTGCCTGCTCTGTGATTCTGCTCTGCTCTGCCTCTACCACCTCTGCTGAGTGC